CTCAAATGCAAAACGGAAGTTTGGACGACGAATGGAAGAACATCCACGTAATGTTAAACTGCATTCTCGGAATGGTCGAAAAGACGAAAAGAGCGTTGGCCATTCTTCAGACGCGCGGTTGCTCGAGCCCGGCAGCGGTGCCTCCGTTGACGAGCATGTCGGTCGGGGCGCAAAACGGTACCGGAAACAGCGCCGCTGGCAACAATCCTTCGTCGACGAACGGTACCCAAGTCGAGTCGTCCACCGGCGATCGCGAGGGCAGCTTGCAGCGATTGTCCGGCGAGATCGTTGCCCAGACCATCAAGGCGACCGAAGACAAGGTCGCGGAGGTGAAAAGAAAGGCCGGTCAGTAGTCGTTGCGCGTTCCTCTCTTTCTCTCAGAGTTTCCGTTCCGCGTTCACGTTCGCGATCGCGCGATCCCGTCCGTTGCAGAGGAAGCCGTGCTGGAAGTGAAGAGGGCCGCGGTGGTCGAAGTCCAGCGGGCCGTGGCAGCGGCGGTGGCCGAGTCCAGGGCGAACGAACGCCTCCGGGTCCATCGATTGCTCGATCTGCCGTTGTCGCAGAGGACTCACGCGACGGTTCGTCAAGGAGCGTTCCTGCGAATTCACGGGAACCCGACCGCCGTGGACGGGAACGCGAGGGCGGTCGCGACGCCGACCGCCGCCTCGAACTCGGCGCCGTCGACCATCGAGGACGAGAAGGACGCGCATTTGCAGACCATCTCGGGATCCGTGAGTATTTTCCGTTCCCCTGCCCGGACGGCGGCTGGTCGCGACTGAAACGCCTGAAACGCCTGAAACGTGATTTTTAGAGCTGTTGGAACTGCGGTAGACCCGCTTTGGAGACCTGCGGCGGCTGCGGAATCGCTCGATACTGCGGATCGTTCTGTCAACACCGGGACTGGGAGGCCGGAGGGCATCACGCGACCTGCCATAACCCACCGCCCCGAGAGCCCAGCAGCAGCAGGTCCGCGTCCCGTAGCCCGCCCAGAACCGCGTCCGGAACGCTTCCCTCGAACGTTCACGAAACGGATATCGCCGCGCCGATAACGGTCACCGCCCCGTCTAAAGGGAAGTGACGTCACCTTGTAAAATACAACGCGACGAGACGATTCGCCGGACCGATCCGACACGACCCGCGCTAATCCTCCACGGGATCTGTAACGTTCTCGTTTCTTGAGTCATACATCTTCTGCGTACTTGGTTCGAGTTTATTCCTTTCGACGACTTCCTCGACGAGAGGTTGCTTCGCGAACGACTTTAAATCGAATTCTCCGTAACGAAGGAAGTAGGAAAGAAAACGACAAAAGGAAACGACGGTCGAACTCGTTTGGTCCGCGCCTCTGGACGCGCGCGCGTTACGTGTGTATAGAAATCCACCGAAGAAATTTCAACGACTCCGCACCATCGTTCGTCCAATTTTTGCCTAGTCTAGTATACGATGTATATAGAAACCACGATGACACCCTGCTCGTCTCGGGAATGAAAAGTAGAGAAGAATTACTCGATATTTGAGTGTACGCATTTCCACTGTTCGCAATGTTTCTGATTGTAGAGGAGGGCTCGATTCAGCAATAATCGTTTTTCGTCCGATATTTCACTGACAGAAAACCGCCGACCGAGAACCACTCGATTCGCCAAACGTAATCGATATCGATAGAAACATTATCCCCTCGAGACGTACAATTATTATCGGTTCTATTGCTCGTGTCGGCGGACGGTGTGGGAAAAGACGGTACGTCGAGATTTTCCTAGTCAATTGATAGATTTAACGATTGCGACGAGTCGTGTAACGAAAGCCGCTACAACTTTTTACTTGACACGCGTCGTCGAATAACCGATAATCGTCGCATCAATTTCAGTCTAGTCACAGTCGGAGGGTAACACGAATTCATCGATCGTACGCATTAGGGAACTTTGCTCAAATATAGATTACGAATCGTTATATGTTTTCCTAGCTACATTCTGTTGCAGGGATGTATGATGGATTCTAAAAATTGTATTTACAGATTCACGAAATACATGATTATTCTATGTCATAATGCTTGAAGAAGCATCGTTTTTCGCGTGCGAAGCCTCTGGGCGGAATGGAAATTTATTTACAGTGCCATCGGGAACATGTTACAAAAAGCAATTTTATTTATTTGTTCCTGCCGCTCCCGCCAGAATGTCCGCGAAAAGAGCTCTGGTCTTTTCTTTCTTGCCCAACGCCTCCGTCCAGTCGTTCTTATTCCTCGCGTACAGAGAGAGGTTCAGTTTATTCGAGACGATTTGCCCGGATTTCGTGGAACGCAAAGATTCCCCGATCGCTTTTAATTCCTCCATGATTACAGTCCTCTGATTCACGTTCGCCCACTGCCATATCTTTTCCAAGCACCTGGAACCGTGCGTGCCGGAAGCCAATTGCGGCCAATATCCTTTCAACTTCCTTGCAAGCTTCTCCCTGCTTTTCTCGCCGATGTATTTGCTGTCGATGAAAGCGTCCACGATGCGACTGCCTTTTGGATCGCTGAACAAATTGAACAGATCCTCGCCGTTCATTTCCAGCAACGAGTTGACGATTTTGATCGGCTTATTGAACATAAGAATAGCTTGCACGATCAAGCTGCCGTGTAAATTGATAGAAAGCCTCGAGTTATCTTGTCCCTGGGAATAATCATCCAGCTGCTTCCATGTCTTTAGAGTTGCTATGCACAGTACAATTTTCTGCTGTTTCTCGTTCGTTTCGCAACCGAGCGCTTTCAAGAGGGCGGCAACGAACGCGCCCTGTTTCGCTTGTATCCTTAAGCACGCATTCGCCATGCTGGTTACAACGCCGTTGTAACCCTTGCCGAGAATTTCGGGAAGACACTCGGATACTTCCTCGAATATTTTCTCGAAGTCTTCCTTTCTGGCGCAACGGTCTAGTAATCGTTGTACGCTGAAGTTTGCGTTCTCCGTCAAAGACAACTCCTTCAGATTGTTACGGAAATATTGTTCGTAGATTGTACTAAACGTTTTCGGATCCGCTACGGCTAAACAAGCCTCCAACAGTCTGGAAGAACATTCCGCGTCGAAAATCTGGGATAGCCGTCGATCTCCCTCGGCTTTAAAGCATTCGTTTGTAATCTTTTTAATGTACTTCTCGAGCAACTCTGGGTATGTGTCTTTCAAAGAATATAAGATACTTTGAACCAATCCAGACGTCAGTTCGTCTTGGCCAAACTCTAGAAACTGTGGCCACTGTTGCAGTCTGTTACAAGCTTGTAACAGCAAATCCTTGTACTCTTGTACTACCACCCTTCTGGAGCCATACTTGGTCGTCCTTCTTTTGTCGTTGTTTTCAATCTTGTCGATTAATCCACCTAGACATTCCACGACGGTTCGCAACAAATGATTCGCGTACGTATCGAATACGAATTCTTCTATGTTATTTACGAGGTATTTACTCAATCTAAGTACAATGTCGTTGTACAGTTTTACTTCGGATTCTGTCACCTGTACGGCAGGATCTGCGGCTTGATCGGAGGACGGTTCCTTGCTTGAATCGTTGTTTCCTCTGTCGGCGCAAACCGTTATAATCTTCTGAAGGACGTGACTGGCGAACCTGTCGCTGCTGAGGGGTCGCAAGGAAGAACCAAAAGCGTCCACTAACCTCTGAATCGTTGTTAAATTCGCATAATTCAAAAGCGAGTCCAGTATCCTGGATCCAATTTGGTTCTGAGCGAACTCGATCTCGCGGCCGACAGTCTGCTCGTATACATTGTTCACGAATATCAATTTCTCCTCGAAAGTCGGAAATTCGCCTCTCATCAACTCCAAAATTCGCACCATGTACTGGTAAGTCTCGGAGTCGATGTCGGTACCATGATTCCTCCGTCTGGCAAACTTCTTCGCCATCTGCATTTGAGATCGTTTCTTCTTTCTCTTTTTACCCCTTTCATTGTCCATCTTCTATTAAACAATATTTTCCGTTCACTCTTAACGTGTACAAGTCGCACTGTTCTCTACGGTAAGAAAACACCGTGACCATAACCTCAACACGCGCGGCGTGTGTTGGTGCAGCGGTGCCATCCCACGGAAGAAGTCTGAAACAGTTTGCATCTTTGAGAGACTTGTAGATAAATCGGAAATCTACCATGACACGATGCGGTAAATAACGTTTGCTACGAAAATAAAAGAAAAATAAATAAATGAATAAATAAATAAATAAATAAATAAAATAGGAACGAGCGCATTATCTCAGTTTTATAGCTCGTTTATTTGTACCTCACGTTCTATCCTTTATTTTACACGCTCCAATTATTCTACACAGAAATGTTCGATACGTCGCCGTTGTATAACTCGACGGATATCTCATCGATTCGCATCTGCGCGTTTTTATTTCTGTTTCAACAGGAAAGAAGAAATCTCTGCAATGGACGTAATGCAACACTGGAGAAATATGGAAGAGAGAAGGAGTCTCGAACGCAGTTCTTTGGAACTCACTAGCAATTTGTCGATTCGCAGGCTCGGATCCGTTGCGGCGGTCGTCGTTCAACGAATAATCAATCAATCGCGGGAATGCTTAGATCACGGAAACGGTTTATCTATTATAGTCAATTAAAGGCCCCTTCGACTGCTATCACAAATAGAAAAAAGAGTACGCGCGTAACTGAGGTTACTCTTATCGAGAATAATATATACTTGTTTCTCGTATATATCGCGCGATGCACGGTTTATGCGTTACGCGTAGAGTCGTTGTATCGTTTCGGATCGTCGACATTGTCGGTTTTTCAATTCGACGAACGATCTATCGCGGTTAAGTGAGTCACAGGGGAACTCGCGAAGACCGCTCAACTGTCCGGTCGCTATAGGAATTCCTGAGCAAACGCGGAGATTGCAATGGCCCTGTCATGAAATTCATCACAGGCACGCACCTTTGAACAGCAACAAATTCCTTGTTACGATACATATTCGAAGCGTATCATCGAATTCTTCGGATTCGTTCGGATTTGTTTCGAACGAAACGATTTCCCACGATTTATCCTAATCGATGAATTTTTGAACTGTTCTAACTGTTAGCGGTGATTTCAGATTCGTCGAAACGGAGAGATTCTGGTATGGAAAGAGTTTTGCGTTGAACAACTCGAGACGCGGCTCGAGAGTACTCGAATGTTCAGACGGCTCCGTATTCTTCGCTGGACGGCGAATCGTCGCTGGGTGGTGGCCTAGGCGGCCTCGGTGGTCTGGGTGGTCTGTGATGATGCGTAACGGGGGCCGCCCTTCTCGGAGGTGGTGGAGGATGAGTCCCGTAGGAGGTGTCGTCCCCTTCTTCGCTGCTAGGAGAAGGCGACGGCGCTCTATCTTCTTGTTCTTGCAGAAGCTGTCGGAATTCTTGGATAGATTCGTTCAGGGACCACAGTTGGGAGAGCAAGGACAGATCCAATTGTCGCAGTCCGAACTGGAAAACAACAGTTTCGAACAATGATTCCGCTGGCAAACGTTTGCGCGTTCGATGTAACTCGTCCGCCGCGTTTAATCGTGCCAGCTGACGTAACTGGCAGCCAGCTAGGGAACGACGATTGCGGTGAAAGAAGAAGCGTTAGAATTCGTCGCGTAGATGGACAGGAACATTTACACCGTGAACGGGTACCAAGGTAAATGCTAATTCAACATTTGCGAACCAACACGATTTATTTCCAAACAAACAAGCGAGCGAGCAACCAAAAACAGGTAAGCGACTATTCGTTAGCCGTGGGAATGAAGAAGGAGGGAGTCGCATAGGAGACGCGAAATGAGAATGGAAATGGTAGTCGGTGTACCGGTGTACCCAGAAGGAAGGTGACGGAGGAGGAGAAGGAGAAGGAGAAGGAGAAGGAGAAGGAGAAGGAAAAGGAGAACGAGCAGAAAAAGAAGAGAAGAGGAGAAGAGACAGAGTAGAGGTGTACCTAGAAGCAACGAAGGTGAAAGAGAACGGCCAGAAAAAGGAGGCGAAGAGGGGAGTCACGCCTGAGGGAATGCAGCGTGGGAGCGGCTGTGCCAGTTCGCCTCGTGTCTGGATTGACTATTAAACTATTAGCCCAACTAGCAAGCAAACCGTAGATGTTTCTGGCATCGGTCGATCGATCGTTCGATACATCGTATTTCGAATATTCCGAGCGCACGGTACTTTCGAGAAGTTTTCCGAAATTGTCGCGCGCGTCGATTCGAGTAACGGGAAAGGAAACGTTTCGATCGAACGGCCGACGATACGAACGTTTATACCCGACGGTTTCTTCCGCATATTATCCCACGCTAGCAATACATATTCATCGCGACTCGTAGTTTACCCACGCGCTAGCTTGTTGGCCCCAACGTAGCGGATTAGGCCGATTCGGATAGGATCGCAGAAGCAGACGCGAGAAAACGAACGAGAGAGAACGAGCGGAAACGGAGAACATCTCGAGAATCGCGTAGACGCGTTATCGTTGCCGCGACGCCTGATAACGCGAAACCTCCAGTCCGACACGCCGATTAGCCCGGTTCGCGGATTACGAGATGTCGAGCGTCGTGGAATTTTCCCGACAGGTGTCGAGCAAGGGAGATTTGCATGGTCGCGGATGGATAACGGTGCTTATCGACGCGTTAACGGGCTTACATCGAAAAATCCCATTCGTCCGGATAGTTCGATTTGGTAGGTAAAAAGGTTCGAATCTGTTGTTTGGCAATGACCATTATTCACCGGCGGATATCGCGAGCGAACGGTTGAAAGCGTTTTACGTAATATAAAGAGAAAATTGTTGTTTCCAGCGCGCGTAGTCGTGTCGTAACACGCCAATCAGCGGGTCCGAAGGAAAATGTAATCGTTATCCGAATATCGATCGGCGTTCCGTCATTCCAGAGCGCCGTCGGAACAGCGAACAACCTCGGTTGTTCGGAGGTTGTTCGGAGGTTGTTCGGAGGTTGTTCGGAGGTTGCGGGCGGTTCCGCGGCGGGACGCGCGAAAGTTTCCGCTAGGAAATCACCATTTCTCTTCTGAGTATAGCCAGCTGAGTATCCAGAGTGGTGAGCTGCCTGGCAGGCGGCGACGGCCTGGACGACGACTGCATCGCGGTTTTACCGCTTCTCTGAGTTTTGCTCGAGGATCTCGCGGGCGGTGGCGGTGGCTCGCAACCCTCGCCGCGGCCCCCGCTCAGATTGAAACCGCTCAAGCTCCTCGGTAGCGGTGGTAGACCTTGCAGGGAAGACATCGCGATCCTCTCTTGTAGACTGGAAAATGCGAAAATCCTTGGTGAAACGAGCGTAAGGTATTACAATATAAATCGGGGGGAAAAACAGAGATATCGAACGCGTATCCGGCGTATCCCGTTTTCCCTTCTCGTTCCCTTCCCGCACGCGTGTCGGCGGCTAATTAAATCGCCTCGAGTGCACGTGTTACGCGAGAAAGTCGCGCATCGGGAACCGCTCGAACGGCGAGCGCATTCCGAGATCGATTTTCCGGGGGATTCGCGAGCGACCGTCGAATCTGCCGGTACCTTTGGCGGTGTCGCGATCGCGTTATCGCCGCCGCGAAAGACCAGTGGCGGCAGCTTTCCGTTTCCAGTTTTCGAGACCGCCTCGAATCGCTTTGGCGAGAATAGAATCGACGCGGTGTATTACCTTAGGTAATTAAGGTCAGCGATTTTCTCGTTTTCGCACCGGTCGAGCCCGTTAACTCGATCTCTGTCATCGCCGGAGAGCGTGATCTGCGTGGACGAGTACTGGATACCGGCATCCAGCCAATCTTGCCGATGAATGTTGTCGTTCTCGTTCTCGTTCTCGTTCTCGTTCTCGTTCTCGTTCGCGGACCCATTCTGATCGTCCACGTCATCGGCGTCCGATGCAGCTTTACGCTCTGGTTCGTCGATAACGACTATCGTGGCACGGTCAACGTTCGAAACGGACTCGATGTTTTCGTTGAGGCTCGACCCCTCTTCGGACGTACTCCCCGCGAACGGTTTCCTCGGCGCGTCCCGATTTTTCGCGAGGCACGATCTGCGAGTGGGAGTCGGCCGGGCCTCGACGCTCTTGTCCGGATGGAATTTCGGCTCGGAACTGGACGGACCGCGACACTCGTCGGAGGCGCCGACGGACTTGTCCGCGCTGCACTTGCCGAGGAGCGCGGATCTCGCCGCCGCCGCCGCCGCCGCGTCCAACTGTCTTTTCGCGGCGGAAACGGTGCTCTCGCTGCTCGACGACTCTTTCGCGTCCTTCGCGTTGTCCATTCGTTTGCATCGTTCCAACGGAGAACGACCGCTCGACTCGACGTTCTGCTCCTTCGACTCCCGAGACGACGCCGCAGTTTGAACGTGCCTCGGCTCTCCGTCCTCGGCATGGTTTTGATTTTGATTTTGATTTTGATTTGCATTCTGCCGACGAAACTTGGCCGAGCCGCATTGCGGATCGACGCCGACCGATTCGCCGGAATGTTCAGGATGGTGTTCCCGATCGGCCGAACGATACCGGGTTTCCTGGCAATTTCGGTGGTGATCGTCCTCCTCTTGGTTCCTTTCACTCGCGTTTCGAAGAGCTCCGCCGCCGCCGCTGACGCCGCCGCCGCGATCCTTGTCGATGACCCGATGAGCCGCGTACTCGGTAGTCTCGTTGCTGGTTTCTTTGGGATGCGACTCCTTTATCGCCGACTCGTAAACAACCGTTCGGCCAGCGTTCACGGCGCACACCTGTTGCTGACTCGACTGTTGTTGATGTTGCTGTTGCTGTTCTTGGTCGGACCTCCAGGGTTTGGTGTTGGGCGGCGGCGGGGCCTGCCTCGTGGGACAGGGCGGCCTTGGGGATCTTTTAAGGGCCTCCGCGACCACCTGCCGGCTGGGTCGCGGTGGCACCGGGGGTGGGTGAGGCCTCTGCGTCGCAGCCAACTGCATTCTTCCCGATCTAGATCTCGATCTCGACCCCGGTCCCCGTCCCGGTCTAACCGAACGCGTCCCGTGAGACAGACATGACCTTCCAGGAGTTCTATTTAAACGCGAATCGACGCTCTTCGCCGCCTTTTCATTTCTGTTCGGCTCGAGGGCGCCGCGTCGTCGTCGCTGTCGTTGTCGTTGTCGTTGTCGTCGCTGCAGCGGATTCCCGAGACCGTTTCGGCGTACGATTCATCCTCGCGTTGAGTCAGAGCTCGAAATGGAATGTTTTCGCGTGCGGTCATCGACGATAGTACCGTTTCCCGAGGCTTTCGCGTTTCCAGCGTATCCAACGTTTCCACCGGGTCCCGACTTTGAGAATTGAAAAAGGACGCGCGTCACGGAGGAACGTCGCCTCTGTCGAAACCGCAACAGCTATTCTCCTCTTCTCGTTCCGGTTTTACCATTTATTTCTCGGCGGTCCGTTCTCGGTGCGAAACAGCACCGAAAGGTTGCCGCGCTCGGCACCTCCGAAGGAATCCGAAGGAATTCGCCTCTCCGCGTCGGAATTGGTTAGCACCGTTTCAGTTGGCGCGCGCGAGCACGTAATTTCGAAAAGCACCTCTCGCCCGTGGAAAAGAGCAAGCGCGAAACGCTGTCGCTACGCGGCGAACGCGTTACATCGGACGAGGACACGGTTGAAACTTGGAACGCGATATCCTCGATCCACTACCGCCTTCTATCCTCTCTATCCACGTATCTGCCGTCCCCTCTTTCGTTGCCCCTTCTCGCTATCAGCGTTTCCCACTCCCTATCACTATCACTATCTCTTATTTCTACCGGTGTATCTGTTCCCGTTGTTATCCCTGTTCCTGTCCCCGTTACTCCCGCCGCTCCCGTTGCTCCCGTTCCTGTCCCACTGGTCCACCACGGTGCCGCGAGTGCCCGCTGCGCGTTTTTCTCTGTTGCCCGTTGAACGAACCGTCGCGAACTGACTTCGCGATCCCACAAACATCCTTCGCGTTCGAAAGACCACGTGACTGGCTCGAGCCCGAGTTCTCGTGGCATCAGGTAGGCAGTAGACGCGCTACGTAGAGGAGGCTTTGTGCCTACCTACCTCTCCGTGGGACGCTACGCGCGTATGTACGTGTGCGCGATTGCACGCGATTGTGTGCGAGGGAACGAGAGGACGCGGAGGAACAGAGGCCCGCCGGAGAGAGAGAGAGAGAGAGAGGAAAGAGGAGCGAGCGAGCGAAACACCGACTGGATCGAGGAACGGAGCCCAGGAAAGTACCGTGGGAGGAACGGAGGGGACGGCTCAGCCACGGTAGAATGGAATGGACACCGAGAGAGCCGAACTAACGAACTAACCGACAGACGAGAGACCGAACGAGTAACGTACTCCGCGTTATACGCAACGCCAGAACACAGCCCGAGACGGCACAGAGGCGAGAGTCCCGCTACGGCTCAACTTTCCGCTTTTCGTTCCTCGCTGTCGAAAATCGGACCGATGCGACCCGCATTCCTTTCAGGGCTCCTCTCGTCGACGACGCCAATTCTTCCACGAGCCGAAGTAAAGTCATTTTTTGGTCGTACCGCGGCCCGACCGGAGGTATCGTACGCGGAAAGCGGCACAGTGTATCGAGCCCTGGATCGTCGTGGTATCGCGTGAGAGAGTAACCCAGGGACGGCGGAGCAGTGCGAGGGACAGAGAAAACGGAGAAAGAAGTTGTTGTTGAAAAGGAGAAGGAAGAGGAGGAGGAGCAGGAGGAGGAGGAAAAGGGAAGGGACCCATTAGGTCTCCTTACTTCGTTCAGCGCGAACTGCGTCGCTAAGGTCCGTTCCCGAGCGCTCAAAACATTCCGTATCTCGTAAACGAGGCGATCCTTAGGAACGCGTCGCGACGAAACTGCCTCGATCTATCGGGACGGATTCGATTCGTGTCTTTTCGACGATGAATTATCGCGGTTCGACGGTATCGCGCACGATCATTCGAGTTCGTTCGAGTTTCATTCACACTCTATTTCCCGACGCAGACGAGAACTACTTGTTCTACTTTCACCCTAATTCGTCCGTTCGAAGAGCGGATTAACGCCGGGGACGAGAATCGAGTCCCCGATTCTCCGTGAAACGCGTCGCTATCGCCGCGAGAAGCGATAAGAGCGGACGACAAAGATTTCGCGTGCGGACGAGCGTGGCCTACGCGGTGATACGAGAGAGAAAGAGGTTTCGCGTTGCGTCGAACGAGCGACGCCGCGTCGCGGATTCCTCGATGTAGGAAGCGGAGTCCGGTGAAAATGGCGTTGAATAACGCGCACTCGACGGACTCCGTTCACGGCGCGGCGTGCCTGCGATCAACGAAACCGCCGAGAAAATCTGTTACATAAGCACGAGAGTGAATCACACTCGAGCGTTAAGTCGTGAAACGACGCAGCGTTCGCGGTCCGATAAAAATTTGCTGCATCATCGGCTTTCGATAGAGTTGCCATACGGTGTCGATGCGCTTTACGATTTCACCGTGTTACAACGTTGCTGCTCCGTCTAGTTGCACGCTTACAGGATATTCCCTCCGAATCGCGTACCGGAGCTTTCTTCCGTTCCAAGGAACGGTTAAGGAATGACGACGCTTCGCGTGATTCAAAAATGATCTACTGGCAACGCGATCCATTAGCAGCGGCTACCAACTAACTAACTAACTAACTAACTAACTATTGCTCAACGACGCGTGTCGGGCCGAACGAATCTCTCGCAGGCTCAGGGAAAAGTCGCAAAAGCAACCCGAGGGATCGCTATCGGTCGCTGGTTCCATCGAAAGGGACGAACGCGCTAACGGACAGTAGTTTCGATTCTTCGTTGCGTTCTTTGCTCCGTTCTCTTGGCGATCGTCGTCGGGTCAAAGGTCGGAATCGCGCGCGCCAGTCGAAGGACGCGTCGCGTCCTTTTCGTAATCGTTTCGAGGAAACAACAATGGAAATGAAATTCAATTAGATCGAATTCTCTCGTGGAGACCAGGTGATGCGGTACGTGTGTGCGTTACCTGATTATTCGTTGCGTGCTGACACCTGCGGGACTATCGTGAAACCAGTTACTCCTTGAACTTCCATTCCTGACGGCACATCGGGCATAGGTGACTGGTTTGTTGAGAGTGCAGCCACTTCATGATGCAGTGGATATGGAAGCAATGCGAGCATTGTCCCCAAACTGGAACAACATCGAATCGCGGTTTATCAGGGAGACGTTCGTCCGGTTCGTCGATCGGACGCGCGTACACACGCACTCGCGCGCACCTTGCGCCTCGCTCGACCACTGTTCAACCGGCGTTTCTTCCGTTTACGGTGACACGCGCGAGCACGCGTGCCTTCGCTACGAACACGCTCTGTTTTGTGTCTTTCGAGCGGCGTGCGGGGGATCCGGTTCGTTCCGCACGCACCGATCGATATTTCCACCCGCAACTGCGCAGACATTGCGGCGGCAATTTTCGTACGATCTCGCCGGTTCGACGAACCGCGGACCTCTTTCCTTCGACGCGATCGTTTCGGACGTACAGTCCTCCGAAACCCCCCCGTGTACGCATCGCTTTCTTTCGGAGGGAGATACGGCAAAGTCGCCACGTGTATTCCATCGACGAGAACGCTTCGAGAATCTAACGCCGGTGGAAGAAGGTTCGATGCGATCGAGCATGCAGAAGGAAAAGATTCGTCGGAGTCGTTACGAAATAATTGGCTAGAAATACAAGGTGCGTTTCGAACGCGAAGGAATAGTTACGCACCCAAAGGGCAGTCGTCTCCGGGTATTTTGCAGTCGGGGCAACTGGCGTCAAATGGCATTCTGCATATACCACAATTATCATCGTTCGCTATCCAACGCCAGGTGGCGACACCGGTCCAACCTACAAAACGTATTTACGTTATTGTCGTGGAATTTATCTAAGAAATCTGCGGGGAAGAGTAATCACGGATGCACGATTACTCGAGTCTCCTCGCCGTCTCGGGGCACCGAACAAAAATGTCGACCGGTCGACGAGTAAATGTTCCAATTCCGTTGTCGTACTTACTCTTGATCGTAACTTTCATTTCGTATTTATCACTGTGCAACGAAATATAGTAGTGTTACGGTATTAAATACAAACGACCCGACGACGAGTATACACCGGTTACACGTAAACGATTAAAATGTAAATATTTTCCAGTTACACGGAGCACAAACGTGCGACGTTGAAACGTCTAAACAAACGTGGGTTCATACTTGCGCCTGTTACGCCATCTTGTGCTTTTCAAATGTGAAGCGGCTGATTCGAATTGTTGTTTGTTTTTGTCGATTCATATTTGTCGAACATAAGTCTCGTTGGTATATAGGACTCCCTGTGCAACATATTTCAACGGTCACGGTATTTTCCTGATGCCTGTAAATTGATATCGCGTAAAAACGATAATAGTGGCAGTTGCGTCGGTCGTTGACAATTTCTAACGCACAATTTGATAATTAGAACTCGTTGCGCCATTAACGGCAAAACTCTCAAACTAGTCGCACACTCGTACGGTCTGTACCTACATATGGTAAGCCTGTGTTTCAGCGGTCGGTAAAAACTTACCGACTTAAGTTACTAAGGTTTACTACATAATCAGTACCATATTCTCATCGTTAGATGACGTTATAATGTTTTGCAAACACTTGTTTTTATTGACAAAGTAAAATGTTAATTGAAGTAAATGATTAGACGAATTTTAGACAATCAGAATTTTCAAAGCACTTCTTTAAATAATATTTACCGATCAGTTATTGGTACTAGGCTCGATGTGTTGCTAGTACAAGAATTGTCAACCGTGGAAAATGTCATGTAAGTAGACGTCATGGTAGATTGTCAAACCATACTATAATATTTTGGTTAATAAATTTCAGATACATTTTAAAAATTCTTTCTTCTCTCGTTTCCTTGTAATCGACACTTTTGGTAATCAGAGGGAAGTAGAAAAATATTTTAATTGCAGGTACATATAATATGCAGAATTGGAATATGCAATTACTATTATTACAGATAATATTAATCCTTTATTGCAGTGGTTGTTTATCAAGAAATGACTGAAAAATCTGGATGCGGCGAACTGCAGCAATTGGTTCAAGAAGAGGAATGCGAAGAACCATTATGTCCCGGTGGGGAAGCAACACCACCTTCGACACCTGCAAGATCGAAACTTCCAAATAAAAGTGATACGCATAGTTCTCATGTATCGGTATGAATTTATAATTACTTTATTACTGTCTTACTATATCATGATCTTATCGGAAGATTTCATCGCTTCAGCAACAAGTGCTATGGGAGAATAATACACAGACATCGCCGATCGTTAGCAAAGAAAGCTCCGGTCAAGCAACGAGCCAAGGATCTATGGTTTCTGGCAGAGCTGTAAATCTATCAAATTATGGTAATCAGTCTCGTCTAAGTTACGTGAATGAGAAGGACAAGCAAAGACCCAATCGACTGGAATCATCAAAACTGAATCGTCAACATAAAGGTAATCACATTTCAATTGAATTTCAATAATTCTATATATGTTGTAATGGAAGCTAAAAGATTAATTTAACAATGTTTATTCAGTCTCTAACTAAATAAGATTTTTATCGCTAAATATATTGCAAACAATTGAGTATCTCTAGCTGTGTACAACTTTAGATGGTTTAGTATGTATCTATGTATCCATTACCTTCCTCCAAAGTTCCATCAAAATTGGTGCCTACGATCATGCAACATCTTTGTCCATGGAACAGACAAACCGTTTTGGAAATGGTAAAACAAGTAACCCTGAACTTACAGTTTTCACTAAATGGATATCATTGAACCATTCCGTTTAAGTTTTGTATTACGAGATCTGTTTTTATTTTCTATAAACCCCCTTACCTATTTTTAAGAGATTTCAATCTATGCTTGCGACACATTAAAGTTTCTTTCTTATGTTATTTTGTGGCCACTTGTGTTCAAAATTATGTTATGTTGCACCTTGTATTTTAAGTTATTATACTAAGATATTTGTCTCTTATGTTTATGAGTTACCGTTCTATCCAGATTTTAGTTGTTTTCTGATATTGTAAAATAAAGGTATGGCGCCATGCAAACATCATTGCTTTTTATCAGAGGTTCCCGATGTGCGACGCATGGAGCAGGCATTATTACAACTTCTAGAAGATTTTCACAGCGGCAATTTACGCGCATTCGGTACGTTCGATATTGTATTTCAAATTGGATAAAATGTATTATTGTAAACAGGATAATTTCAATTCAGGGAAAGACTGTAGTATGGAGCAAATGACAGAAATACGAGAACAGCAAGAACGTTTAGCTAAACTTCATTTCGAGTTAGGTCAAAGACAAGACATTAGTGGAGAACAATCGGGTCTTCGACATTCAAGCGCTAATATGCGTCACTTGTTGCATCGTCTTCAACAACTCAGTATATGCATCGAAAAACTACACAGTAAATAGTTGTATCATAATAATACGTAGATTTGTAAGGTATCGGTAATTACATTTTATTCTAGACGAAATAAAAGTTGCTCAATAGGAAATGGAAATAATTTGCTTGTTTTCCAAGTTATTTTCTTTTTCGTTTCAGTGAACGCAACTCGATGATTCCGCTCGTTAGATACATTGAAGCCGAGACGGTCCTTGACAGTATCATAATTTTCATTATTTTCGTACTACTCCCGTCCAGACACGATAAGCCATGCAGTTCTCCTTGCTTGTTATTTATGAGTAGTTTAAGTTGCGCGCGAATATTTAATAGTCCGCAGACGGAGAATAATTTAAATGATGCAAAGTACACCATAGCGTAAAGTAAAAATCTGTTCTTCCTCCTATCGTTGCGCGTAGAACCCATTCTATTTAGAATATTTCCAAGTAATGTCTATAATTCTATTTAAACATTAGGCACCATTTCGTTTCAATGGAATGAAAATTTTCCATCAAATTGCTCTCATTGACGATCGATTGTATCGTGCGATGTTATGTAATGTTAATCGGATGGATCGGACTTGGACCGATCAATTATTATACAGCGTCGTTCGTAACAAATCAGATTCGAACACGACATCGATCGACGTGGGTGAATTCGAGGAGAACGGTTGCTATTAAAACGGTGACGGAACAATCGAAAGATAAGGCGTGCGAACGACCTAGCGAATTGATAAAGGCGACACGGAAAAATAGCAATTTACGCATTTCATTTATCTCCTCAAGGTGTCGCAATAATGTTTGTCGCAGGTTCCCGCGAACAATTGATATTGATACGTGGCAAAAAAAGAGACAAATCTTCGGATTCTGATCTTCCGAGAGCACTGTGAATTTCATATCGTACAATTCGATCTCTCACTGCAGTACTAGCAGGCCTATTAATCGTCTTCGACGATTGTTTCCTTGCTCGAAGACTACGTTTCTACAGTTCATTTGCGTCGTTTGCAGTTTCATCTTCGATAACATATTGACTACTGTGCATCGAATAAATGGGCGCGCTGTACGAATCGCGAAGCCTAGCAGCGAATTGTCTCGGCGGTACTCGAAAATAGCATGGACCGGCCCAAGAAAACCAGCCTTGAAACTCCCACGCCCGGTCCCGTGACAAGTTCACCGAGAATAACGTTCTCCAGGCCGGCGCCTAACCGCTTCCGTAATAAAGCTTCCACGGGTATTCTTGGCAGCCGGCGTTCGGCCAGTTCCAGCCGAATTTGTTTACGGTGCCGTCCGGCCGAAGCGAGCGCAGAAACGATTCCGCGACCGATTTTTCAAGGCGAGATCTTCCATCGAGACGCGGCGTTACCACGAACCCGTTACAAACAAGAAAAAGAAACAGCGACTCAAGGAGATCCTCTATCCCCGCCGACACCCGACGCGAAGACAGGTCGTTCTCGAAGTTACCTGCGAAATAAAATCCCGCTTCTCGTCCCGTGGTATTCCATTGAGTGCTCGTAGACGTGACATCTCGCAAGTACGGTGATTAGATACGAGTCGACCCAATTGTCCCGATTTACTATAACCGCGTCAGCTGGGGTATCGACCGGAGCTTCCGAATTGTCTTCGAATGAAAATCTTTGTGTAGTAGCGTAACTAGTAGCATACGAAGAGACGAAGATCAACGTAACGGAGGAGAAGGAATAAGGAGGAAGGGACGCGGCTGGATCGACTGGAAGAGGCGGTCGCATCCGGTATTTTCGAAATGTTGGAACGGTCTCTTCAAGTTCGAACCTCGAACCTTCAGCTGGGCCCGTGTTTGTACTCGTTTATCGGCGATCGATACCGATATCGGCGCCGATGCGTTCGTTCGGCGGGCCGCGCGAACGCTGCTAGCACGCGTGTTTATCGAGATATCAACGGCGACACGGTATAAGATATAAGGGGGCTGGCGGACGGCAGCCAGTGTTGTGCCGGATCGTGGGCTACGCTGATTTAGAGGCGGTTGCTGCGGTTCTTATCGGTAGAGGCAGTGTGCATCGTTCGAACGAGACAGGCGAAATGCGGTGAGGCAAATGTTTTGAGTCGCGAGCGGCGATCCGTTCGTCGTCGCGCTGATCGTTCTCGTTTCTTCAGGATCTGGCTGCTGCTGACCATTTTCCTGGTCGTCTCGGTGCTGGCGACCGAGACGTCCGCCAAGAAACGCGGCAAGGAGGTGGAGTCGAAGGCCGGCCACGAGAAGAAGAAGAGGGACGTGGCGTATGCTAAGTAAGTCACGAGCTGCGATTCCCGCACCCCTCGCTACGAGCGAGTTACGCAACCGTTTCCGCGATCTGCTTATCTCGGGCCGCGGACTTTGCTTTCGCGATCCTCGGCTGGTCAGGCCGTTGACACGTCGGTCGCGGCGTAGGTCCCTGGGGACGTTTTCTCCTGTTATATCCGGCGTTTTGGAACGCGGTTTTTTCGTTTAACCCGTTAATTGCGGTCGGTTCTCGCTGTTGCAGGGACGGGAAATCGAAGGAGTCGAAGAAGAGAAAGAGCAGCTCGTCCGAGGGCAACGAAGCCGAGGCGTACTCGGAGAGTAACGCGGGGAACGTAGAATCTTCCGGCAAAGGGTACAAGTCGAAGAATAAGAAGCTGAAGGAGAAGGAGAACGTCGATCCCAAGAGGAACGGCGAGGTTGGCAAGGGCAAAAAGGAGAAATCCGGCAAGTATTCGAAGGAGGCGCAGGATGCTCATCAGACGGATTCGAAGAAGAACCTGAAGGAGAAAAAGACGAAGGACAAGGTTGATCTCGAGGAGCAGGCCGACGCGGAGAACAAGAAACCGAAGGTGGAGGGTAAGAAGCCAGGAAAGAACGAGAAGCAGGCGAAGGAGGGCAAGAAGAAGCTGCAGGAGAAGAAGAAGAAGAAGGAAACGGTCGAGGAACTCGAGGAGGAGCCTCTGGAAGCAGAGGTTGAACCTGAGGCGAAGCTTCCGGCGAAGAAGGATAAGAAGAAGGGTGGCAAGAGTCAGGAGGGAAAGAGCAGGAAGAAACGGGAAGCGAAGCCGGAAGCGAAGCCGGAACCGGAGCAAGCGGAAGAAGAGGCAGTCCCCGAAGAGGAGCAGGAAGTCCCCGTGAACGCGGAAGAGGAAGTTGAAGCGGGAGAAGAAGCGCGAAGCTGTCGGAAACCGGACGAACTCGACAGCGAAGAATCGGACGGCGTTGCGGAATGCGAGCAAGCGTGACGGTCCAACCTGTAAATACTTGCGTCATCTTCGAGTATCGCATTCTATCACCGTGTAATCGCTCGTTTGGTCGATGCCAAGATATCGATCTTTCCAGTATATGTTTTTCTGTAAGCCGTGTGTCAGTTGTTGTCGTCGCGCAAGAGACTGACGTATCGTTCGCGAGGTCATCAGCTGATCGGGATAAGACGCGTTTCGCATTAAAGAAATTTCAATCGTTTATTCGATCGATGTCCGCGCCGAGTCGCAAACACGGACCGATGTTGTTACACTCTTTATGTACAAACAATGATTCTCTCGATGATGTGGACGAAGTTCTTAACGTTAACAGCCTTTGGAAGAAGGGAACCGTATAAACACGCCTAACAGCTCTCCCGCGAAATGTACGATAGACACACGCTTCGAGGAATAAATATTTCAGTAAATCATCCTTGCCGTGTGCCCGTTTCGCTGGTGATCGGTCCGAGGTATCGTTAAGGTTGTCCCTTGAAAGTTATTACCCAACCTGTCCCTATGTTATTCATGGACGACGTGTACTCCACCAGGACCCGTTCGCTGCTGGTCTGGAACGCGGCCGGATTGTCCTGAATGAAACGAAAGAATTTCGTGATCTCCGGTATCTTCGAGAGGCTATGGAGGCTATATTTTCATTTCGATTCGTGAAAATTACCCCTCCGCAGTAAGTGTTGGCCAGAATGCGTTCTCCGTCCGACCCGATGTCGTAGAGCTTCAGGAGGTTCGCCTTGTTTTCGCAGACGTCGCTGTCGCCGATGTCGAACACGCTGAACTCGAGGACAACCTTCAGGCCGCGCGGCACGCTCACGTCCCAAGTACAAACGGTGTTGTTGCGGTACTCGTTCGGGTACATGGGCGAGGTGAACGTTCCCGCGTAATTGTACAGTCGTCCGCCGCAACCACGTCCTGCGTGTTGTTAGTTTTCAAACGTAAATACTCATCGTTCGGATTAGTTAGCGTCCACTGTTACACATTCGCTACTATTATGTTGTCATTAGATATTGCTAGATAGCAATATCTAGATACGGCTCTAGACTCTGTCCATTGTCATTAGGATCAATTAGTGCCTACTACTGTTACTGTTTGCTGTTACATTATTATCAGACACATCGTTATCTACGGTCCCAGACTTTATACCATCGTCACGAGTCTAACTTCTCATCTGTTTCCTATCGAGCACAGCTAAGAGCTTTGCTACCAGCGAGTAGCCATCGTTGCTATCGCTACAGATTTTCCAACAAGCATTTCTAAACCGAAGAAAGAGATCCCATCGAATTTGCCAATGTTCCGCGTGCTACATCTTGAATTGCGATCGTCACGTGAGAACTTGTCAACGTTATCAACGCGTCGCGTCGCGTCGCGTCGCGTCGCGTCGCGTCGCGTCGGGTCGGTTCAACGATCTAGTCACCTGCGTTTGTGGTAGTGAAACTGATGTCGTAGTATTCGTAGCTGTTTTGCCATTCGGATTTGGTGCGCAGGCTGAGCTTGTTACCGACGCTGAAAATGGGGCTGGGCGTCTCGATGCCGCAATAGGTCGCCAGCAGTTTATTGTCGAAATTGCCCTCGTAAATCTGTGCGAAGAAAACGGACGATCAATATCAATTCGAGTTTACACTAGCCACGTCGAACTTGCGGCTCGCGATAAGTAACACGCCTGTAAGATCGCACGGTTTCAACGTTACTACGTGCAACCCATTCGACTTGTCTCGCTGATTCGATCGACAACGGCGAAAGATCGTTCAGACTCTCGGAAACACTTGTTATATTCAAGGCGATTTGTTCTTTTCTGAATGTGGACGAGCCAAAAGGTCGGACGCCTGGATACTTGCCCGCAAGTAAGTCTCGGCGCACTCTTCGGGATCGTAGAGCATTAATTTGTTGAAGTACAAGGAGATCGTGTGATTGACCGGAGCCGTGATCGTGACCCAGCAATCGCTCACTCCTTCGTGTACGATCCTGCCCTGCTCCGAGGTGTAGTTCCGATCACAGGACGCGGTGCTAAACTGGAACTTGAAGCCTTTGTGCCCGGCAACGTTTCCTTTGAATCTCACCTCGACCTCGGTGCCGTAGCTGTGTCGACAAGAGATTCCTGTTTTGTTATTCTAGCATATTCTATCATATTCTGCAAAGTCGAGTGAGTCAGAAGCATTTTGCTATTCGTTTAGAAGGAACGATCTCTAGAGTAACTCGCGATAGTTTTACTCTGAAATGGACGCCTACTTTTAAGACGGAATCGAAAGTTTCTCACATAGAAGTCTAGAGTCGAGGTTTGCCTTTGAAATCCTCCCGCCCTGACGCCTCTTACCTGTAGTAGTCGTGAGGTAATCCTTTGCCGCAATACTTGTACGAGGTCAACGGCGAGTGTTGATCCTGTATAAGGTTCCATAGTGTTATCGTTTGTCGTTAAAGATACCGGTCGTATTTTCTTTAAATCTTTAAATGTTCGATTCGATTACCATGTACTGAGAACTCTCATCGGAACCGGCCCAAACGAAGTTACTTCCGAAGCCCTCGTCGATGTACTTCCGATTCTGCGGGAAATACATTGCGTAAGAATGAAATCGTTAAAACGTACAATTCTGTGTATTCTATTCGTTGTATTCTATTCTTTAATGTTTCATCGCTAAGATAATCCCCTAGGCATCTCCAGGTTCGGCGGTTTACCGTTTTATCCGTAATTTCGACGTAGTCACCGTCGCATTTCGCCGAATCGGGCAAGTCGAAGTCCAGAAACTCTATCTTCAGCCTCCGGGTCTCGAAGACGCCCGAGTACAAAGTCCACCGACAGTTTACACCCGCCCCGTAAGAGTCCGGATAATTAGGAGAAGTGAGTGCCTGTGCTGTTCGTTGTATTCGCCGACTGCTGACACCGCAGACCGCTGAAACCATTGATCTTTCCTTGAGTGTGAGGATCATAAACGAACTAAGATTAGCCCTAGAAAGGCTGAACGAACGAAGAGTCCTCCCGTCCTCCAACAACTTGTTTAATGATCTCGTTTATCGTTACTTGTACATCTGGAGGTTTAGCCTTTCTAGGGGTTGCCTTTTTCAAGGATATTCGTGCTTTACAGTCTACGGTTTCCAGAGTTCCGGTGGCTCCTGTTCCTTGTATGCGTCCATCGCTGGAGAATCGTATCCAAAGTGCGTTCGAAGAGGACAGTACGGGTTCTGGCAGCTGGTTGCCGCAGTATCTGCCCAGAAGCGGGGAGAAAGGATTCAGACCGTCGCGGACCTAAACAGACAAGCGATTGAATCACGGCAGTCGAACGTATATATTTCGGTAACTGTAAAGCAACAAGAAAACGAATGAAATTTCCAATCGTACTCCTTTTCCGAAGGTAGCCGGAATTGAAAAATAAAGATTAGAATTACCTCTAGAAAATCACCGGTACATTTACTATCGTTATTTGTCTTCTGAATGTTCATACTGTTGAGAGTCAGCTTAATGTTCTTTCCCTCCTCCGTTGTCACGATCCAGTGACAGTCTTCTAGATTGTCGTAGGTGGAGCCCTTCTGCGTCCGGAATGGCAAACTTCTCGTCTCTGTCATATTAACGTCGCCACCGCAGCCAGCTTCGGCGCTTTTCACGAACAATACCTGCAAGATTTTCAACGTTAATTTCTGCTCGAGACGCTTATCGGAATGTTTCAACGACTAGGCTTTCGAAACCTGGGCACGGAAGCCCTCGTAGCTCCGGCTGGCGTCCGAGGAGAAAGTGACGAGCATGCTGTTTCCCGAAGATTTGTAAACGGGCAGATGTTCGGTCAGATTGCCGCACAGTTCGGCCATCTTCTTTCCGTAATTTTCTTCCGTGCCCTCATAAATGCTCACGCTGTCGTAGTAGCATCTGGAAAAGTTCGGATCACGGTGAGAAGATCGATCGTTGCTCTTGTTATTCGGTAAAAATCAATTCGAAACTTTACGGTTGGAAGGAAAGAGTGAAAAGGTAGTAAACAATATGATAGATAAATAATAATCAGCGTGGGGATCATCAATCTCGTTTCGGTCACCTGCTGGTGTATTCCGTGACGAATTTCTCGAAACGGAGGACGATGTTTTTGTCCTCTGGCGCGCGGATCACCCAAAAGCAGGACAAGTCGTGGAAGTACTCGATGTCGTGCATCAATGGCTCTATCGTTCCGGGCCTCGTCAGTGTTCCGCCGCAACCTGTCGTAAAAGAAAAGGTTATTATGTTACTATTATGTTAAGTTCCAATTCAAGGAATTGGCATGTGCTTAAGTTGCGCAGGAAGATGCGTTTTCGTACTTTTTATACTGAATTTGAAGAGGAAGCCAGTCCGTTGGATGTAGGAGTCCGTTCTAAACACGATCTCCAACCTGTTGGCGGCAGTGGAAGGTGGTTTGTTGTCACCGCAATAAACCTCTGTTTCCGGCATGTAAAATCCTTCCTTCGTTATCGTCAGATTGTCGAATCGACAGTCCCTTCGGCCTGGAAACCGACGTTCATTGATTAACTGATTGTCAACTTATAAGAATAATAGCTGCCTACCTAAAACTTTGCCAGGTTTTCCTAGAATTCTTTGCGTTTAGGGTAATTACTAGCATTTAGTATGATTGCTTACTACGTTCCAGCTGGAAGTCCAAGAATTCCACCATGACTTCCTTGCCATCGGGCGCAATTAAAGTGTAGTTGCAGAACAAGTTCGGCTTGTACACGCCCGGATAGGACGGGGATCTGATAAATGTCGATTCGTTGGTAGCGTGAAGCACGCCGCCGCAATTCTCGTGCCACACGGCCTTGAAACCGTCCGCCTGGATCTTGTCGTTCGAATGGAAGGTGACTTTCATGCGGTTCTCGGTCGAATTAAATGGCGGCGGCGTTAGCCTACCGCAAACTTTTCCCAGACTTTTCCAATAGTAATTGGGAGTCTCTGGAACGAGCACCCAGTCGAACACCTATTTGGAAGAGTTTCTTTATTTCCGACATTTCGCGTGTCGTTGTTCGTTTAACACTAGAACTGCCGAGCAACCGAACTGAAATCTCGATTGATTTGTAATATGTATAAGAAGTGGTTCTAGCGTTGAGCTTAAAAGAGGCTAGTAACAGGGAGGCGTAATGCTGGCAATAATCGAAGCACTAATGTTTACGGAAGTCAACTTTCCAATCACCTCTATGTAATCGTTCTTGCAGTCTTGGCCAGCTTCTAGATTGAAACGCTCGACGAAGACCAGACCCACGTGGTAACCGTTGTCAGCGTTGATCTCCCAGGTGCATTCCGCGTTGTTGGGATACTGCTTCGGGAAGCTGGACATTCAAACGAAACTTTTCTCTGTATAAAGATATCAATTGCCAATTTCATGAAACGGATTACTTAAATTCCACGACTGTCATTACTTGGGAGACGTGATGTATCTGTTCTTGCCGTGCAGAGCACCGCCGCAACCGTTGTTCGCCGGCTCCAGCGTGAATTCGAAATCGTTCGGCTCGGCGGTCGCGAAGTATTCGATCCACAATCGGTTCGAGGCGCTCGTTAGGTTCTGCGGCTTGACGTTTCCGCAGAACCTCAGGATTTCCGGCGAGAGCGATCCACCGTTCCTAAAGAAGTAAATCAAAACTCTGCATCGATCTTTCCGCCTTATCTTCGAAAGCAGTTTGCAGATGTTCGTGTCGAGTACCTGATGCTGATGTAGGTCTTGTCGCAGGGGCCCAGGTTCAGCCTGGAGAAGCTTAACTTTAGCAGTTCCCCGGTATCAGGATAATTGGCGTACCAGACACAGTTTACAGGATAGGATATGTTCCGCGGCGAACTGACTACGTGCGATGGCCCCTCGAGCGTACCGCCGCAGGGCTGCCATTGGTACTGGAGATCGTAGTTCATCGGTTTCCCGTAAGTACCGTTCACGATCTACGGGTATCGTTAATGAATTTCTTATCGTTCGCCGACGAATTCTTGAAAATCTCTTCATTAGGTACTCACGACCAGCTCGTTGACCAGCTTAGGGCTCCTCAGGTACATCGGTTCCGTGATGTTTCCGCAAATCATACCGACATCTGCGAAACAAGGCACGTTCGGTTAGGATAGCGCTCTTAAAAGTCTCGTACTTGCCGAGACCCGGTATATATTAACAAGGTACAATTTGTCAGCCACCGATAAGACTACACTTAGGGGATGCTTGATTTAGAAGGTTTGCGTTGAATACTTATTTCAGTGAATCGTTAACCGTGCCAATTGAGATTTTCACCTGTCAGGGAGATGAACTGGTAGTTGAGGCAGGCTCTTGTCAACACGTAGCTTCGTATTCCACCTAATACACCAGTCACCCTAATGGAGAACGTTAGTCCGGTGGTGTTCGCGTCGTTAAGTAAACTGTCAGGCGCCTCCATGCTCCACTGGCAATGATAGGATGATTCGTTGAAAGGCGGAATCGTCGGCCCTGACAGATTGCCTCTGACTTCTTTCACGACTCCACCGCAGGCTGAAACGTTCACAGGAATCACGAAACTTGTCGTTTAAGAAGCGAAACGGGAAGTCTCCGATCTCTCGAGTTGTTAACGCTTCAGCTACCGAGGTCCGAAAAATCGGAATTTAGACAAAGTGTCAAGGGATAACGGTGAAAACGTACGAGCCGGCACCGCGGCGGAGTAGCGAAGCTTGAACCCGCGATATCCGGGCAGCGCCGTGTACCCGATCGTCATGGTGTTACTGGAACTCCTGATCTGTTGCAGAGTGATGTTGCGACTCGGCGTCACGATCCTGGACTTGAACTTCAGATCGTTGTAGAACTGAAAATCAAACATGGATGCGTGAGAAAAATTTATGGAAAAGCTGATTAAATTGCTTCGACTCAATTCAAAGGAATGACTTATTTGTTCCTTTATTTAGACAGTTACCAATAAAGAGTAGCTCATTCGAGGAGGCATGGTCATAGAAGGTATATCCAAATCCAAAATGTCCGCGACCACTTGGTAACCCAATGGCAATTTGATCCTCCAATCACAGTATCTGCAACCACGATGGGTGTGATCAACAAAGATTATTTTCGAGATTATATAACGTTGGAGCAATTATTAATGGTATTTATCGGTCAGTTGGTATTACTGAGACTGTTCCTAAGGTTACCTAGGACGCGTGGCAGCGTTAGGATATCCTTTCGATTTGATTATGCCGGACATCGCGGTCAATTCACCGCCGCAGACTGGAACAAACGTTTCAATAGATTGTTCGATGGACGAAGAACGTATAAAATTCCAAAGGAAACAACGGACTCACTTCCTGGACTGGACGAATACTTCAAACTGAACCCTCTGTAGTGGCGGAACTCAAAGTTGTCGCTCTTAAACTGAATGATCGCCTCGTTCGTCATCGTTTCGATGACACCAGGCTTCTCGTCGCCGCAGTATCTTCCGATTTCGGTACTGTCTGCACCGGAAACGAACATTTGGGGATAGAGGATCATTCGAGTCGTCTGAAATCGATCGGTTCCTTAGAGATCCATTCGATTTATTCAACTTACTCGTGTCATCCTCCGGGATTTTGTCGCTGATCACTATGTAATCGGTGGAACTGCACATGTAGGTCCAAGGCAGATCTATGTCGGCGAATTCCAGCTTAAGCGTGTGATCGACCGGTGCGATTATCCACCAGGTGCAGGTTTGATTCTTTTTATAGAAGAACGGATAATTCGGAGAGACGATCTGGCGGCCGGTGCCGCGAATGATTCCACCGCAGGCCTCTGCGATCGAAAGGAAATCATTGGGTTAATGTTCTGCAATCTTCGTCGATTACGCATTGTCGCCGGAGATTTTATGAATTTGCAGTAAACGAAATCGTTTGAAACTCGGTTCGACTACGATTAAACGAGATTCCCGTTTTCTTCGGAACGCGTTAGTGTTCGTAACGCTCCGAAGAAACTACAAAGAATTGAATCTTCTATATTTATCTGTCTCGCGGTGCCAACAGAATTTCATCGAGACGAACCTCCGACGGAGAGCTTTGCCTTGAAGCCATTTTTAGGTTCCTGGAGCTCCGTGTAGAAGTGTATGTACATCATGTTCCCGGTGGTAACCATGCTGTTAGGTGCAACGTCCTTGCAGAATCTTCCCAAGAGATTCGAACTGTCGGTTCCGCCATCCCTTATCTCGACGTACTCCCTCTCACAGCTGAAATTCATTGTTTCTCCCGTTAATCGTCTATGTCCCGCTCGTCAAACTTTTTGTAAGAAAGATGAAAAATGAGGATAATAACGATGAAATATATAGTACTGAACACATGTTCGAAAATAGATATTCGAGAACAACTGCCAACTGACTTCATCGAGTAACTCAAGTCGAATCTGTCGAGGAAATGAATGGATATTCGTTCCCTGTTCGGAGTCATCACTGTCCAAGTGCACTCGGTGAACGGTGGCGGTATGTTCGGGTAATTCGGCGTCGAGATTTCCAAGTCGTCGTTTCTCAGTATGTACTCGCCCCCGCAGTTCATACCGATTGCCCTGAAATTCATGGAAAGTAGGAATAATTTCACGTTGACCCTGCTACGGAGCACAGTTCATTTACACGAATGAAATATCGTTATTGTAGCCTTGTTAGAATATTCCGACGATTTACTTGTATTTCAGATTGAAGCGCAGTTTCGGCAGAGCACCTTCGTTAGAGCCGACCACCTTCGCGTAGAAACGATTCCCAGTGGTGTGCAAGATCGGAGGTGTAACGTTCAGGCAATATTTACCGTTGCCCAGTAGGGAGGACGTCATCGCGTCGCCATTCTTCAACTGCGAGGAATAGTACATAGATATATAATATAAACAGCCTTCTTTTCCATTTATTTACGCGGCTGGTATCGAGGTTTCAATGAATAGACTCACTATCACGTAATTCTCGGCGCAATTCAAGTTCTGCTGCATCGGCGGGTTGATCTCCACTTCTATCGTTCGGCCAGGCTTCACTTCGACAATCCACTCGCACGCGACGTGCCAGTTACGGGTCAACAATCCCCAAAACGAAGAATCCAACACGATCTCTCCATTCGGATCAGTTAATTTACCACCGCACTCTACGTCGACAGTAAACAATATTGACAACTGTGTAAGCTAGAGAAGGAAATAAATGACTGATCAAAGATCAGAATGGAATCGAGCATACCGCGCCGAACGTAAGCCTTGAAGCCCGTCTTGTTCGCGTAGAAGTCCGACTCGAACTTCACCGTCATCACGTTCTCCGCGTTCAGCTGGACAAACGAGCTATTCGAGAGGCACATCTTTTGGATCAGTCTGAGGTTGTTCGAATCGTACAGTCCGTTGCCGTTGTAGACCGACAGCGAGTCCGCTATGCAATTGTCCGACTCTTCTATGTCCAAAATAAGCATCCTCAGGACCAAGTGTGTCCCAGGCGGAGAAGTGAACACCCAGGTGCAATGGAGGTTGGCTGCGTATCCGTTCGGCCAGCCAGGAGACGACAGTTCGTAGCTTGTGGTGCCCGCGATATTTATCACCTCGGTACAATTCGTGATAGTCGCTGCATTCAGAAGAGGTGTTGCATCGTTTCTTTCGATTCGTTTGGGAACGAACGCTACAAGCGGTAGGCAACTTACTCGTCACATCCGTGGACTCTTCGTCCCTCAGCACCTGGAGCCAGGTGAGCTCGAACCAGCTACCTATTCGAATCACCTCGATGACCATTTCTATGTACGCAACGTTGGTGGTAGTCGTGATAGGCTCGGGTTTGTCCAGGCCGCAGGCGTCCAATAAAACAGGAGCCTCGTTGTTGTAACCGTCGTAGATCTAATCAGGCGGTAGTAACAGTGTTAACGATCAATATCGCAAAGAGATGGTTCATTTCAATTCGATGCAATTCAACCAGAATTCCGAACAACTTACGCGAAGATGCGACAAGCAATTAGAGCCAAAGGTCTCTATGAACAGGTCTTTGATCTCGATTATCATCGAGTCTTGGAAGTCCACCGTGATTCGCCAAGTGACGGTGTCCCTCATCTTGAAAGACAGCGGGTAAAGGGGCGACGTGATGCGCCCGTAGGGTCCTCTCAGCTCGTTGCCACCAAGGAACTGGTACTCAGCCACGAAACCTTTCGCCACTCCTTCGCCGTCGCTTCTGAACTTGATCCACAGTGTCTCGGAGGTTTCGACCGGCTCGATGCTGGTTCCGCAGGCCACGCTGATCAGCTTACCGCTCCCAGTGTCCTCGCGTATCTCGAGGTAATCGAGGTCGCAGTTCTCGCTCTGCTGCAGCTCGAACTCGGTGAAGCTCAGCTTCAGCTTGTTACCCGGCGAGTTCTTCAGGATCCAGATGCACTCCGAATTCAGCGGGTAGCTCCTCGGGTAGCTCGGCGAGGCGATCCTTCCTTTGTAGGCGGTGTAGGTGCCACCGCAAGCTGAAATGCGCCGCATTCACGATAAAGTATGGCGTAGGTAGACAAATAGGATTTTGCTTCGTGCGATATTAGGTTTAGAGAATCTTCTAATCTTTTAATCTTTCGACGAGTCACGGAATAATTAAGGGCTTCTAGAAACTGCTCTAAGCAAGTTCACCTGAATTCAGGACCGAGTAGCTGATGGCAAAGTTTCCGAGTTCGAACAGCGCGTACAAATGTATCGTGATCGCGTTCCCTGTGCTCGTTACAGGCAGCGGTAGCACGTTGTCGCACCATTTCCCTAGGGACGGACCGTCGATGCTTCGACCTTCGTGCACTTCCAGGTAGGCCACGGCGCAGTCGTCCGCTTGAAGACCGTTCATCAGGTCAAGGCTGACTTCCATTTGCGTGAACGTCACGGTGATGTGATCCTCTGTTGCAATGACAAAGAAAATTACGAAGAGGTTCCTTCCGTGTGAGTAGTAGAATGGAATTGTGTATATCCTGTTCGCGTGTTGCGTTTAGCGGTTGCGTGTACCTGGATCTTCAGCGATCAACGTCCACGTGCAGTGTTCTTCGCCCATAATCTCAATGTGCGACCACACCGCTCTCAGGAATCCTTGATCCTTCACAGTTATACGAGCTCCGCAAGCTGTACTGTACGTCGCCTTGAATCCCTTCGCCGAGACAATGCTGTCCGTCCTCATCACGACCAACATTTCATTACTAGTGGCAACGAAAGGTGGCGGCAGCTGGTTCCGACAGAGGGTCGCCAACAAGGGCGAGTCCTTCGTAGGTCCGTCGTATATCTGTAAAGACCATTGGTTTTTATCGGATAGTTTCATTCGATGTTCGAAAAGATTCTTCAATTTCGACGTGAATTCTATCGAGTTAGCAGAATAAGGCAGGAGGCTTCTATTCGGAAATCCACACTGATCGATCGATTTCGATTGACTCGCTGGGTTTGGACTGTGGAAATCTTTAGATCAACGTTTCCCTGACCTTGACGTGATCGTTGGTGCAGTTCGCGCTGTTCTCCAGGTCGAAGTCCGAGAAGGTGAGGTTCACAAGGTAGTTCGGGTTGACTTGCAACAGCCACTCGCAGTTCTGCTTGTGCGGGTAATTCCGCGGGTAATTGGTCGAGTATATGACGCCCGAGTCGGCCGTGTACTTCCCGCCGCACGTGAGCGGCACGCTCTTGTAGCTCGCGTTAAAACCGCGCGCCCCGTACGACACGTCCGAGTGGAACTTCAAGAACATCTTATTCCCGAAGCTGGTGTACACCACCGGTTTCTCCGAGTAGCAGAGTTCGATCAGGCTCGGCGCGTTCGCGTCCCCGCCGCTGTACACTTGAAGCTTGTCGAAGTAGCAACCCTTCTGCTTTTCGGTGTTTATCTACAATCAGTGTCCACAATCGTGGTTCAGTCTTCGAAGGGTTAAGACCTAATGGTAGTTTCTTAATGGACAAATAAATTAACTCTATTTTTTGTTTCATGGAGTTGATTTCTCTAACAAGTGGATGAATCATTCAACAACGATTGGAATAGGCGTGTCCTCGCAGAGGAGAAAAGATTGAGATATCTGCTACGATCCAGAGTCGTATTCGTTATCATTCGTTAGTATCTACGAAAGTTCAGTGATGTAATCCTTCAAGTAGATCACTGCTGATCGTAGAGGATACTCACGTCGTGGATAGTCAGCTCGATGCTGTGCATGTAGTCAACCTCGATCAGCCATTCGCAGTCGACGTTCGTCGGGTAGCCGGACGGATAGTTCGGCGACGTGAACGTGTCGAACGGCCTGGTCAGGTGTCCGCCGCAACCATCCAGCAACCATTCCAATCGGAATCTGACCGGTGCGGGCTGCGGCCCGGTCACGAAGCTGACGAACACCTGATGCTGCGTCGAGGCGATCTTCTTCTGCGACATGTCCGGGCTGCAAATCGTAGCGATCCGCGAGTTCGGCACGTTGTCCTCGCCCTCCTGAATGTTCAAGAAATTTTGGCAAGTGGTGTTCGGCACGATGTATTCGTCGCTGTTGAAATGAGACACGGTCAGGTTGATCTTGTTGCCGACCGGCGCCTCGATCGTCCAGCTGCAGTTCAAGTAGCCGTCGTACTTGTCCGGGAAATTCGGCGACTCGATCACACCGTGGAAGCCGTGGAATTTTCCTTGGCAAACTACGAGCGAGCGTTTAATATCGTTAGATTTTCGGATGTCTATGGAAACTTCGATAAACACATTGTCGAAATTTCTAGGAGACAATTATCAAGTTTGCCGGGAAGTTCTGTCCGGTAATGTCGTCTCAAGTTTCCGAAGACGAGTGGTACTACAGCAATGGAATCCCGAAATTACCATCGCGCTACGAAGAGATCATTAACGACGATGAGAACTATATTGTTCGGTAAATATCGATAAATTATTTTCTCTTAACTCGGACAGAACCATCTGGAAGAGCTAATAGAAACAGTCAGCTCGACCCCGGCTGTTTACATTAGCTCGGTTCGAGCGTTAATCAGTTTTAACGTTCAAGTTCGACGACGGACATCGATGCGAACCAGTGATCGTCGGGTCAGTTTGGTAGGTACAAGTGTGACGCGGCTGAGGATCGACTCACGTGTTTCATACTTCAGATGGAAACCGCGGCCGAAATTCGTGTAGTCGGTGTGGAACCGCACGTTCAACGTGTTCGACTTCGTCTGAATAACCTTCGGGTAAGGGTTGCTGCAGAATCTCTGCTTGCTCCCGGGATCGATGTCCTCGTATATCTCGATGTAATCGAATCTGCACTTCTCGTGGTGTTCCAGATCGAGGTCGACTATTAGCAATCGGATCCAGCCACCGGCCGCCACGGCGATCTTCCAATAACAATCGGCGACCTGGTAGGGCTGCGGGTAATTCGGAGACACGATGTCGCCGCCGGCGCCATTCAAATTCCCACCGCAACCTGAAATCGCCGGAATAATTGTCTGTGCTACAAAAACGGACACGTTATCGGAGTAATCGAGATTTTCTCTCCGGATTTCTAGGATTAACCGTCTACTGGCGATTTGCTTCGCCTAGACTGATGATAGTCGTCATCGAGCAACAGGTGTCCGCCCAGTCGTGACGCACGAAGTCGGGAACAATTTTAGAAGAAACGTGGAATGGAGATTTTAACTAGATTCAATAGTCTCTCCTTGATAAGAGATTATACATACTCCGTCGAGTAATCGCACTAGCATAAAACAAGTCTGTTTATTTATTATTATTGGCTTATCGCGTTACCTGAAGTGGTGCTGTCCCATTCGATATTGAAACCATATCTCTGCCTCGACGAGTCGGAGACGAACTTCAAATACAATTGGTTCGTTTGACTTGTGATCTCCGTAGGTACGTCCGTTCCGCAGTATTTGCCGATTAGAGGCGAAGTTTCGTAGCCACCGTTCCTACAATCGATTCGATTATTTAAACGTAGAAACGTACAGCTTGGATCTTCGTAGATTAAGGGGATTATATCTGTTTATCTTAGATCCAGCTAACTTAATTTCTTTATAATCCTCTGTGAGAGCTGGTTGCGAATAACCGAATAAATAAATAGAACCAATTGCTCGTCTGCAATAGTTGTTCACCTGATCTCCAAGTAATCGAAACTGCAGGAGGAATGTTGCTCGAGTTGGAAGTCCTTCACGGTCAGTATCACCCTGTGCTTGTTCGCCGCTTCTATCACCCACGTGCACTCCCTTCTGCTCGGGTAGGGATGTGGGTAGTTCGGCGTCTTAATGGCGCCGTTCGGTTTGACAAAATGGCCGCCGCACGTCTTCGACGCGTCCAAGAAGAGGTACGACGCGACGAATCCTTCGCGTCTTCCCGAGACATCCGAAACGAAGTTGACGGTCATCACATTCCCCTGAGACGTCAGTATCGGCGGCTTCCTCGTTCCGCAGAAACTGAAAGAATCGATCGACTCGAACTTTGCCGGAAACAAGAACTGCAGAATTTAGCCACACGTCGGTCAGCGTGCGGTCGTTCATGGTTTTTCGTAATCGGACGGTAGAACTTTCCATGTACGTACGTGCCCAACATGTTCATGTCGTTCTTCATGTAATTTTCGTGAACTGAGACGTAATCGTATCTGCAATGGGGATAGTACTCCACGTTGAACGATAACCAAGTGAGCTGCACTACGTGGCCTGGCGGAGCCTGGATCGTCCAGGTGCACCTCTCGTCGTTCTCGTACGTATCGCCGCTCGTCGGAAATTGTATCGTTCCCGTCGGCGACTTCAACAAACCGCCGCATCCTGTGGAACAACGTAAACGTCATGCTCGATGAGCTAAAACTCGAACAGTTCGTTTGCCAATATAATGTTAATTTGTAAAACGAAGAGTAGACAAATTTAATGGTATCTTGGTGGTAAAATCCGACCAGTGAACGGTTTATACGGGGACAATGAAAACTCGGGTGCCTACTGCTGTCGATCGTCGAGTAGTTTGCGTTGAATCCGCGGTGCTGTACGCTCGCGTCGCTGACGAACTTCAACAACATGTAGTTGTGGGTCGAGTAAAACGGATCTGTGGGCATGTCCTCGGCGTCCCCGCAAAGAGTCGCGAGCTTGGTGGTGTTCTCGTTGTCGCCGTCGTAGATCTCGAGGTAATCAAAGTAGCAGTCGTCCCTGGACAAGCCCTCGATATCCATGTCCAGCATGTTCAGCACGATCCTCTTGCCGGGCGGCTGCACGATCTCGTAGATGCACACCCTCGAGCTGTGGTACGATCCCGGGTACATGGGCGAATGGAGCGTGCCGGATTCCTCGGTGAACTGGCCGCCGCAGAGAATGTGGTACGAGAGGCTGAAGCCCTCTCTTTCCAGCGTCCAGTCGGACCTGAAGATTATCAGCAGCACGTTCGTGTTCGATCTTAACGTGGGCGGCAGCGTTGTGCCGCAGTATCTTCCGAGCAACGGAGATTCGCTGGATGGACCGTCGTAAATCTGAAAAAATTTCGAATAATTGGAATCTTGAAGAACGATAGAGGTTTCACGTATAGATGATTAGGAGAAAATTGTCGCGTTCCGTAGTCCTAGCGTTCGGCGCGATCGGACACACGGAAGATTAGGAAAACACCGAATACCTCGACGAAGTCGAATCGACAATTGATCGAATTCTCCAGGTCGAACTTTGACCAGGTGATTTGTATACGTTCGCCGACCGGCATCTGTATCCTCCAATCGCACTCCATGTTCTCGTGATACGATTCCATGTATTTGGGTAAAGAGATCTCGCCGAAAGAATTGGTGTATACTCCGTTGCAGCCAGGTATACCTGAAATATTTTTATTCGATCAAAAAGGTCAACTCTACGATATCGTCCGCAAACAGTTTCACGAAGATCATTACCCTCGATGGTGGAGTAGTGAATCTGGAAGCCAGCATCCTGACCAGCGCTGTCCGAATGGAAATGAAGCTGAGCTTCCGAGCCCGGCACGATGAGAGGCGGTGGACGCGTGTGATTGCAGTAGAGACCCAGTCTTTCGTGACCTTCGCTCGTTATCTGAGAACAATCGAATAACAACACCGTTGAAACGTGATTTATAGTGCAATTACTAAACAGGTTCCGAGCGTCGACTTGTCATTCGGTTCGCGTATTTCGACGTCAATGTCTCCAGTAATTCCTCGGAGAAGCATCAGTTATCTTTTTGTTTGTTCCTCTTACAAAGACATAGGTCTTTTCAATAATGCAACGATTATCTTTCTTCGGTTATCGCTTACCTCGAGGTAATCATTCTCGCAGGTCGGATGTTCCTCGATCATCAACTGACCAAAGTGGAACTGTATCCGTTTCGACGGTTGAACCGTGATGTGCCAATAGCAGTCTCGGTTGGGCGGGTATCTTCCTGGCGAGCCCGGCGAGCTGATCGTTCCATAATTATCCGTCAAGCTTCCGCCGCAGACGGGTTCGATGCTGTTCCAGTGGAAAGCGAATCCGTCGTGCGAGATGCTGCTGTCCGAGTGGAACCAGAAGTACAGGGAGTTGTGGGAGGATATGATGTTTCCGTTTGTACGAGGCAAAGTGTTGCCGCAGAATCGGCCTATCATCTGGTTGCCCGCGTTCCTTCCATCATGAATCTGCGAAACACAGTCGATTCTTCAGCATTTTTACTCGAGCATTATGGTTATTATTAATTGTTGATCAACTTTTCAAAGTTTATGAAGTACATTTTCAATTGTTTGTACCTGCAGGAAATCGAACTTGCAGTCGGTCGATTGCTCGATGTTGAACCTCGTGAAGGTGACGTTCAAGACGAGCGAGCTGTTCGTGGTGAGGACCCAGGCGCAGCTCAGCCCGTGCTGATAAACGTTCCCGCTGATGGGGAACACGAGTTCACCGATAGGGTTCCGGGACACGCCCCCGCAGGTCTGTCGCGGGGTCTCGCATCTGTCGCCTGTGAACGTCGACGGACAACTGCAGGTTGCCGCACCGCTCGAGATCACGCAGACTCCGTTATTTTTGCAAGGATTGGGAGTGCAAGGGTCCAGCACGTTACAGTTCTCACCTGAAACGATTAAATGACGGGTCGTCATCTCGTCTTTGGACACTGTCGAGTTTTCGTAACTTGAAAATCTTTCTGAAAAGCATTCTAAAAAGGACTACACTTAACTATATTTTATAACTCACCGCTCCATCTATTATCGCAGACGCAGCTGTACGCGCCATCAGTACTTCCGGCAACGCATCTGCCATGGATACAAGGATTACTGGCGCACGCAGTCAATATCGATACGTTGCTCGATGACCGACGGCAACCATTCGGACCGAGACCGGGTCCGGTGAAACCTGCCGGACATTGACATATCACGTAAGCGCTGGTAAGTCCTGGGTTCTCGACGCAAGTCGCTAACGGGTGGCAACCGCCATTGTTGACGGCGCAACTACCGACGTAGTCGCAGGTAACGCCATCGCCACGGTAGCCGGTCGGACATGTCCCGCACATCCTTGAACCCTGGTGACAAACAACAGATCACGAATCAATCTGCCGTTGTTTCTTGGAAACCAATTATTGTAATATTTTCAACGCAGTTACCATTGTATTTATACAATCCACTCTGGGCGATGTGCTGCAGCCGCCATTGTCCAGCAAACACTCGTCGATATCGGTGCAGTAATAGCCATTTCCGGTGTAACCGCGAGGACACGCGTCGCAGAAGAATGTGCCAGGTGCGTTCCGACAGGCGACCCAAGGGTTCACGGAACATGGTCGATGGTTAGCCGCGCATTCGTCCACGTCCTTGATGCAAGCCGGGTTCGTGCCATCGGCCTGCCAACCCTGCGGGAAACAATGTTTGCAGCGATGAATTACCGCCGACGGGATTCGATTCGAGCAGCAAAATTATATGCGTAGAATTGAAAGTTGCTTGTGAAAGATTAGAAGAATAAGAAAAAGTATCATCGATATTACTTACTTGGTCACAAATGCAAGTGTAACCGAGGGGAGAGCCAGGTTTGGTCACGCAGACCCCGTGTCCGCAGAGTTCCTCCGAGTTCTGGGTGTTGCAGACCGACGTTTTCGTTGTACAGTGAATACCGTGCCATCCCGGCGCACAATCGCATCTGGCGTATTCAAGAAAAATTGCTAAGAATGTCAGAAAGTACGAGTGTAATCGATTGTTTGGGAAATATATTAAAACCTGTACGATCCCGGTAGGTTCAGGCATGTAGCGCCATTCTGGCAACCTAGGTCTGTCCCCAGCAGTCGTACGCATTCGTTGACGTCGGTCATGCAATTGGGTCCCTGTAGTTATGAAACTAGTTAGCGAGATCCGTCGTGTGTCTTTCGATTCGATCGTTTACCTCCCAGTTGGACGGACAATTGCACTGGTATCCTTCGTAGAGGTCCTGACATGTACCGCCGTTCTGACAAGGTCTGCTGGTGCATTCGTTCGTCCTAAGTTTGGTCTCCATCGTTCTCACTTTGTCTTCCAAACGTCGCAACTAAAGAGACAAGTATACCATGAAACTTCATTACGAAACCGGGGATCAATGATTCAGGCGTATCTCGATACGTACTCGACTGGTGAGCATGCGAACTTTTACGTTTATTCCAGCGACGGACTGAAAGTAAAATATTCTTCAGTTTATCAAGAACATCACTCTTCATTTCGATCACGTACCTGATTCCTAAAATTCGCTGGGAGCGAACTGTTCGCTTCCACGAGTTTCCCGTACATCGCCATTCTTCTCTCCAGGCCATCGGCTCCTTCCACAATCTGCGTGAGCCTTTGCACGCTGGTCTCCATCTCGGCCAGGTATCCCGTCCTCAATCTTTCGATCAAACGCGTCGCGTTTTGCGCCTGGAAGAAATTCGATTAGTCTCTCGAACGAACGGCGATCTCCTTTGCGAGCAATGAAATTTGGATCGCGCGTACCGCGGACGCGACGTGCAGCAAATTAACTTCGTTGACGTTGATGTGACCATCCCCAAGAATCTTCAGGGTGATGTTCCTGTCCCTCGCCGCGGAAATGAGCAGGTTTCCGTCCCGTGACTCCAGCACGGGCCTGGATATAAAGATATTAAAGTCGTGGGGCCATTAATGGGCAGAACTTTCTTCCGAAGGGGAAAGAGCGACATTGACGGAAATTGTGGTTCCCGTTCGTACCTCTCGTCCATCCATGCCGCGCAGATGCCCAGGTAAGTTAGCAGCAACCATTGCGGCCACGTAGCCATCGCAGCGACGAGTTACAAGCCTCGATCGGGTTTCAGAGTAGCATCTCCTTCCGGATGCAACGGACGACCCTTCGGCGTGTGGCGTTCGTCGCGGACTGCATCAAATGATCGGAAACCTGGCGTATCTTCGCTCGAAAGTGGGCGTATTTCGGAGTTATCGAAGTCCACCCAATATCGGTTACCACCCATTGCGTTCCACGTAACTCTAATCCCGAAATTCTTTCAAAGAAACAGCCGTCTCGTTTTATTCAAATTTCTTGTCTCATTTCCTTTTCTTTATGTTCACTCTTTGAAATCCCTTGGAGTTCAACGCGTGGATTCAAAGACGATCGACGAAGAACTTTTACTCTACTGAAATGTCGTCGAAGAAAAGGAAGCACTTTTTAGTTGGAAATTTACTTGGAGGAAGCGAAAATGATCGATCGTCGTTCCTTCTTTGTTTTCAACAGAAAGAGCAACGTTAAGAGCTGTGCGTAATCGGAGGAAATACCGCTAAAGTACCGAAAGCATCGAATCCGTTGAAACACGAGTCCAGTGGCGCCCGCAGTGTCCGAACTAATAGCGACAAAAGTAGTTCGGATAATCGATAGTTGGAGTAAACCAGGCTCGTACGGTCGAACGATCGGATGCACCAGAGGTCCAGGTGATCTTTGCTTCGACCATATGATATCCGAGTAGAAAAATAAACTGAAATACTTGCTGGTATTTGTAAGCATATTCGCGGGTAAAGGGAAGCGTTTGAAAATTGGGCGGGAAGGTCGGCGCTGCTCGTCAGATCCGCGCGCGCAGCGCCACCGGTCGAAGGGATTCGAAAGCGACGGCGCGTTCGGAGCGTTCCGTCGTGGCCGCCGTTCCCCTCGGAGCCGGACAGTATGGCTTCGGCTGCCGGTAGCTCCGTGTTGGTGGTGAGGTTCCACGGTGGGACAGTGCGTAGTCGGCCGCGGGTGTGCGTGCTTCGTTTTACCCGCACGGAGGACACGGATCCGTGAGACTTGGCAGAGATCGTGCGGCGGGGAAGAAGGACGTGTGGGGTGCGTCGATACACGTAGACCGTGGGGCGAGGGCGGCCGAGGAAACACGGGCAGAGATGCGGCGAAATGTGAAAATTGTGTTGTTCCTGTCATGCGCGTGGATGTTCGCCTTTGTTTACTACTACCACACGTCGCGGGACACTAAGGTGAGTCGTTTGACAACACTCTCCGCATGCACCTTCCTGATCCACAATGTGCACTCGCTTCGCGGACAGGAACGAACACCGGAAGTGCACGTTCGTTTTACGCGGTTAGGTTTATAGTCCGACCGCTAGGTGGGAGGGGGTACCGCGAACAGTTTAGTTTTGACGTTTCATATTTTACCGCCCGTGCGTCGCGTTCCCGTTGAATTCGGCTGCGAGACCGCACCGGGCTCGGGGGATAGCGAGTCTAGCGTGAAATATTGATCCCGGACATGTGCTCTGCCCGAAGAAACGGATTCGGTTCATTCAGAATCCTCATGCAAATCGGCCCCGCGACCGGCGCGTTCCAGCGCGTTTCACCGCCTTTCCTCCCGGGTTGCCGCGTCGAATTCTCGGTACACATGGCTCGAGCCTTTATTGCGACGTCGCTCGGGGCTATTCGCGGTTTCGGGAGCCGAGCATCTGCTACGGCTTTTTGCACTTTTAACTCGGCGACGCGCTCGCTCTTGCCGTTCGCGGTTTCTTTTTACTCGGGGGACATGGAAATCGGTTTCGTCCGTTTTCAGCCGTGCGTCTCGCGAGACACGTTGCAAGGGCCAACCGGCCGTTCGTCGGGGATCGTTACGATTACCAGCGCAATGGACGACACTGAGAAATGTTGCTTTAAAGGAAATGTTTTCATTGTTGGGGGATGCACTGGAAATAGACCTGTTACGTAAACGAGGCATTGTTAGGAAGATGGATATCTTTCACTATGGCGCGTTGAATGCGGAAATCGACTACTGATTTCGAGAAGCGCTCGATCATCTCCCGAACATCGAAGCTTCCGGTTCACCCACATCTTCTATGCTCGTTATCATTGTCGTTAGATATTCTTATTATATAAGCGATACACGCGGAAAATATATTGCGATACTACTAGAGTAAAAGGTGAAATATGGATGGAAATTGTTTTCAGTTTAATTTCGATTTGTTGCGCACCGGATGCATAGAGATTGGTTCGTTCGCGAGGACAGGTTAGAACACGTACTCCGGATCAATTGTCACGGTTTTTAATTAAAAAAACAGGTGTTTCGATACTTCCGACAGGAGATTTATAACGAGCCAGTCGGAAATACGTGTCGTCTCGTGTTTATCGTGTCGTTAATACGGAACGAGGCAGCTAGACCCGCTGAATCTTTATGCAAATTCGCATTTTTATAGACATATTCGGAACGACAGGAATTACGCATAAATTTCTTTTTACTGCCCGGGATCCCGGGCAGAGAACCACGTGAAAATGTGAGGCGATACTTTTATCGTATATATCGCGAATTGGAATCCTCTAATAAATGCATCAAATTCTCGACTCGCAGTCCGTAATCGCCGTTCTCGCTTGATTCCCTTCGCGTAGATATTCCCAAACTTGTTCTTTTCGTCGAGGTATGTACGAAAAGATGGCGGCGATTACGACAAATCGTAAATTTTTCGCCCACGCAACATCGTTTTATAAAATTCGAATTTTTCGATCGTCGATCCCGACGTTTTTAACGCTGTAGATCGTTTGTGGAACGTCCCACGCTATAGTTGCGATTAGAAACGGCGAAACTGTCTTGCGAATTTGTACGTTCGGTCATTGATCTCGATGACTTTGAACGTTTACAGCGCAAGTCTGAAATTTTCTCCAAATAGTGGATAAAACTTGAGCGGCGGTAGAAAAAGCCGCCGAAAATATTGATTTCAGCAAGACATTCGAAAAGCACCGGAATCGGCGAGAAAGTAGCTAACTTACAAGGCGATCCTTGTGTTGTGGTGTTATGCAAACTAAACAGGTTCATAGTAAATGCAACGCGAATCATAGTAAATATGCAATAAACGGTGAACGCGATGCGAATGACGCAGATTGTATCGCACTTATTAGCGCGGATCGTTCGCGCGGCTATTTATTATAGATCTCGTGGATCCTCAATGGCCCGTGTCGGTTGTGCGGCCATTGGAACGCCGTTCGCCCCGATGCGTTACGATTTTTGCACTCTTACAATCGGGGCAAGCGGTTTTTCCACGAAACCTAGATCCATAAACCCCGTTCTCCTATCGGAGTTCTCCTTTTCTCCTATTTCCGAATGGGAAATTAGTTTTTTTCCCCGCTCCCAAGTACCAAATGCGTGGATTATATAGTGCAATCTGTGTATTGCATCCAAACTGAAGCTATCAGTGGTCGGTACTGCAGTTTTCAGGAAATGCCTTTTGAATTCCCTGATATTCCCTGTATATTTACATGTGATCCTCTGAAAAAAGTACACAGGTTTCGAAATGATCTCCTGTTCATTCTGCTAAATCCGCTCTCATCGGAGGTTCGGAGCACCTTTCGTACACATGCACGATTAACATCGAAAACAATTGATTAGTATACGAAAGCAAGGAGAGACGCGACTACAGAATAGAAATAAATTCCCCGGGGGATTCGGTTCTCTGTCAATCCGCAATCAATCCTAGTCCGGTGGAGTGTCCAAAGGCTGTAGGCACGCGAGTGGCTGCGAGTGATTCAAGTTCAGTACGGCCGCTATCGCGAATGCATAATATCGATTGCGCGCACGTGTGCGACGGTGCACGTACGCGATATACTAATAAATACTCGGACACGCTCCAATAAATAGACGCGGAGATGAAGGAGACCTCTCGCGAACCGGTTCCCGTTCGTCGCGTTTGACCGATAATTTCTCGAGGATTTTCTGTTTCCGCGGCGGAGCTCGGCGCGGAGCAAACGGGACCGATGACTCGCGGAAATCGACGGATCGTGAAACACCGTTCCGCGTCTTGGCGCGAGCATCCGTAACCGGCATGGAGAATCACTTTCGCGGTCTTCGACGCGTCGCCTAGACTTGCTCGTTATCCCGTAGCAATTAACGCGTTTACGGCAGGCATTTTCGAATTACGTGAACTGGGGAAAACGAACTCGTTACGATTTAAAGGCGAGTGGTAATTTTCCATCCGCGTTTCGAACGATCAAACACGCGGAATCGTGGTGCGAGCGTTTATGTCAATTGGTAGTCAATTGGCAGCGTTTTGAAATCGGAAAATAGAGAAGGAAGTGTAAACGTTTTAGCTGACACTGATCGCAGAAAGTTTTCTGTAGTAGGGCCATTAATCTCCTCTTGATTGGCGATTAAGAGTTCGAGGCATTGCAATTCACGTTCGTTATTCGAACTTTTCCAATTAATAAGAGGAGACGCTACACTTGTTTCAAGTGGAGGTTTCATCAACAGATCAATGAAAGCTTTTCCACGTAGAAATGTTGATTATAAATATATGTCGATTCAGATTGTAACATAACATAGAGGTATCATCGATCAAAAGTAGTCCAGTTATTCCGAGCTTTGTAGCCCGAATAGCAGCAGGATGTTCGATACCGATCGATCGAGAAGAAAACCGGTCGCTGGTCAGGAAACGAGTGTAATCGGCAGTCCGTTACACCTCGAGCCGGCGAAAGGTGAAAGCCATTCCACCGGTAAGAGTTCTGGAGGAGCTCCAAATTAGAGTAACCGTTATCGAGACATTCTCTTCCGATTCACGATTCACGATTCACGATTCACGATTCACGATTCACGAGTCCCGAGTCCAAAGTCACGAATCACGAGTCACGAGCTGCTCCGTGAAACGCTGTTTGTTTTTTTAATAACGCGTGCCGTTGCCGATCAGCATCGTCATTCCACTTTCTTTTTTAATCCACGCGACTCTCGTCAATCCCGGCAAACCGATCGGATTATTCAACAATTAATAACGGTTGAGAATAATCCTTTATTCAAAAGCAACCGCCATCAACGAGTCTACAATCGACGGAGTAATCCGCTCAGCGGCCCCATTGCTCGCTCGAAATTCGAAACGTTACCATTAAACTGTAATCTTTAAAATTTAAACTGAATCCGACTTCAAAGTCGGGGATTAATATTTTCGATTTTAAACGGAGCTGAAAGTGTCGCCGAATTAGCGATCGTTAGTTTAAACGGAGCTGAATCGGTCATTAATATTCGATCACTTTATTTTCGATCCTCCTTTCATCGGAGAAATATTCTCGGAGCTCGGAGGATATTTCAGTTGATCTCTCTCCGGAATCATTGTAACCTTGCGATTTAATTGCCTCCGGTCCCGTCCCGCGGACGAACTTGCGGCGAGCTCCGTTTTCACTATCGCAGATTGATCGATCGATCGCGACTCCTTTCATTTTTTCCTCTCCCTCTTCTTTGAAAACCAGCCGACTCTTGGCCCGAAAGAACGACTCCTCGCATTCAACCGCGATTTTCCGTCGTCGCTGGCGCGGAGTTAATCGCTGACGCTTTAATGGGGCGAACTAATCGCGCGATCCTGCAGGAAACGATTCGGCCATTAAATTCGAAAGCACCGATCGAACTGTCGCCCATCCGCGAGCTCCAAGGAATTGTGTCATCGAACGGAGCCGTGAGTCGAAAAATTCCTAGGAAAATACCTCCGCGATTAGCGGTAGCAACCCATAAAATGGAATTCCCTTTTCCTTCTGTCTTGAACCTGTCAAGCATTCTGTCTCATAAGTAGATTAAACGTTGAACGATTGCTATGTTTCCTTCTCTATATTCTCTACTCGTGGCTTCTGTATACTGGGATCGAAGGTAGCTGCAAAAAATATCAAAAGTATCAACAGATTATCGTGACAAACTGGGTCAAGTTGAATTAGACGTAACGGTTCAGTCAGCTTTTAATTAAATAAAAGCCCCGCGTCGCCCGGTGACTTCTTTATTGCGTCGAGTTTGTTACATATGCGTAACGTACGTGAAGGATCGATGGGCGCAGTATATTTATAGGGATTACGAAACTCTCGCGAATCGCCGCGCGAGGAAGATATAAAAAGGGGGGCAGTTGTTATCGGCCACTGAAAGCCAACGTTTTCTCCGTTGAAAGGGGGCGACGAAAAAGGATTTGCATATAACGAGAACCGGGGAATGGGAGACTCGTTACGACCATCGCGGGGAACGTGTCCGAAATGTAGAATT